TGAATAGGAATGCTAACAGACAGCTTTCTCCAGTTATTATATAACTCATCCGTTATAACATCTGAACTTGCAGCTTCTTTCCTGCACAACCAGAGGTCGCCAGTGGATTGTTTATATACACACACACACACACACACAGATAGATAGATACCCCAGACAAATTGCAAACACAGCGAAATCAAGACATATTAATTCAGTAAAAATATGAACCCTAACTAACAGTGGCAGCAGCAGCAGCATAAATGAACTATTTAAAAAATAGTTACCACAAAATTATCATATAATTATTGCAAAATAAAAGCTTCAATGCATGCTGGGAACTTGCAAAACATTGTTCAACATAAAAATTGTTCAGATGACTCAATTTGGAAAGTCAGGGCAACATTTCGACAGGTTTTGAACAAATACTTGAGTATCTAAGTAAGGTTTAAAACATCTTTTGTTAACAACATGTTTAGAGTATTCTCATTCAAAATAATAACGTGATCCCTCCTATTAATTATCATTATTTTTTAATTCAAGCTACTTTTTTACATTTGTAAAAACAAGAATTTTTTTAAACAGTGTACCGTCTCATAAAGAACAGTCTTCAGATACTTTTCTTCCTCAAAGGAACTTCCTTCTTGGCATTGTAAAATTCTGATTATCTCGAAACATGCATCTTAACAAAAAAGAAAATGTATGTCATATCTTATTTTAGCTGCCCGCTCAGATGTCCAAGCTACACTTTAAGCACACACATATTAATTCAGTAAATATATGAACCATAACTAACAGCAGCAGCATAAATGAACTATTTTAAAAATAGTTACCACAAAATTATAATATAATTATTGCAAAATAAAAGCTTCAATGCATGCTGGGAACTTGCAAAACATTGTTCAACATAAAAATTGTTCAGATGACTCAATTTGGAAAGTCAGGGCAACATTTCGACAGGTTTTGAACAAATACTTGAGTATCTAAGTAAGGTTTAAAACATCTTTTGTTAACAACATGTTTAGAGTATTCTCATTCAAAATAATAACGTGATCCCTCCTATTAATTATCATTATTTTTTAATTCAAGCTACTTTTTTACATTTGTAAAAACAAGAATTTTTTTAAACAGTGTACCGTCTCATAAAGAACACTCTTCAGATACTTTTCTTCCTCAAAGGAACTTCCTTCTTGGCATTGTAAAATTCTAATTATCTCGAAACACAGACATCTTAACAAAAAAGAAAATGTATGTCATATCTTATTTTAGCTGCCCGCTCAGATGTCCAAGCTACACTTTAAGCACACATTCTGTCTGTCTGTTACAGTATCGTTCTGATTAGCCCATACTTTAACACGTTTAAATGTTGCCCATTACATTTTATATTATCAACATAGCCTGTTTTGTATTGTATTTACCTTGTACACAAGCCCTGACTTCTGTTGTATTGTTTTATATTTAAGCAACATAATATTTTTTTCGTATAAGCACAAGGCCACACACTGAGGTGATCACAGCCATAGTGATATTCAGAGAAAACGCAGGATTGGGGTAATTTTGCGCAGTAGTTCAGTAAATAAGAAGTTAATAATAATTATTTTGCAATTTAGACAATGCTGCCAGACATTCTTTTTTTTTTTTTTTTTTGCTAATTGCTGTAATTGCTGCTAATAAATGTACGATCAGATGATCATTACAACCAAAATTAGACAATCAAAATAATTCCAGGCATACTGTATATTTAGCTATATGTAGCTTTTGTTCTGGTACGTTTTAGTATATGCAGACCCATTTAAGCTTTAGGCTGACTCAGAAAACAAACAGCAAGATAACCAGAAATTCCAGAAAAACTGTAGCCTAACTTTAGACAGACATCATGTCACTTCTTGATAATAGCCTCTCAGATGATCACTTTTTTTGAGCGTTGATGGGACACTATTGTCAAGTCGTCACATAGTGTCAACATAAAGACAAAGTATTGTATAGAATTGTCTGTATTGTCCAATACTGCTGGCGTATTTCATAAATTAATCTACACTGTGATTCTGCTTATGTCACGGGGAGCAGACAGGACCCAAATGCATGACAGCCAGTTTAGTGCAAAAAAAGACTTTTATTAAACAAAGAGACAAAAATAAAACGAAGCAGGGCAAAACTTAACTGGTACACATGAAAACAGCCAGGAGAACCACAACCAACGACATGTACGACAACGAACCAACACAGGACTGCAAACACAAGGAGAATAAGTAGGGCAGGTAATGAGGGACAACAGGTGGGACAACTGAACCAATAAACAAATAACAAGGTGGCGGTGTTTACAAAGACCGGAGAGGCACCATGGCACCAACAAAAACAATGACAAGCCATGTGCTCACAAACAGAGCCAGGAGTGCCCTTTGGTGGCCGTTCTGGGCACACTAGCTGAAGACTGAGATTCTGCTTAAAATTGCACTGCATTTGTTATCATAATGCCTAAATTATAAAGCTGATCAAATTTCTGGTTATCACTAAGTATTAATTACTGTTGTTAGTCAGACTGTACCTCTCAGGTAAGAGGTACTGTTGTTTTCCTTACTTTATAAACACTGACTGCACTGTTATTATATACTACATAATGATGACTATCATTATAAAAATCAGTTTTTTCATAACTCCTCTCACTAACCATCGATGGTTACTGTCTAGTGACCCAGGTCATCATGTCATTGTTGAATGTATTTCTAATGTAATTAAGTATTCAATGATATTTAATATGAAACGTAGTGCAGTAAAAAGTACAATATTATGCTTTGGAATGTTGTGAAGTAAAGTTTTCTAAAGAAAAACACTCTGATAAAGTACTTTTACCACAAAGTTACATTACTGTCCGCCTCTGGTCAAAACCCACACATTCCCAGAAATACACATTGAGGAGAATGTCACATGCAGGCCACAAACTATATAGACAAGAAACCACACTCTTTTCTATTTTTTATACATGTTAAAGTTTTGTACATCTTCATATTTTGTAGCTGCTCTGCTAAGTTCCACCAGACAAACTCATATGTGTGAAAGACGTTTAAGAGCATTGCTTTTATAAGATACAAACACTGAAAAGTCCCAGTGCAACTTTCTTTGGACTGTTTTGGCACTAGGTCAGGAACTGTTGTAACTGACTATTATGTGTGATATTGACTGATTAGCATTGCTTTCTTTGCCCCCAAGTTACATACTCTGCTTCTTTAAGGCATCTTTTTTTTATTTAACGCCCATGCAAAAGTAGCCATTTAAAATGATTCTATTATTTATTTATTCCTATTTATTTATTCCTTTACCTTACAGTAGCTTGTCACTCACTGCTGAAATGTTTGATACTGTGTGTCTTCTTGTCATGTTATCAGCCAGTCAAGGGTCCTCCAAAAGCTTTCTCGAGATAGGCTTACTTGACATAATCACAGTAAAAATCTTCAGAAAAAATGTAGCTGAAAAGAATAGCTCAATGCAAACTGTGCAGTCACGTGTCTTCCTCCTCATACATCCCCTTATTATTTCTACTACAAAGTGTAGTTTTTAAAAAGGACTGTATTTACAGTTTTTTTTTTTAACCAGCAGACCTGGGAAATCCGGACGCTGTATTCAGAGCTGTCACTTGAATTCATCAGATGTGATTAGTAGCCCTGAGTGTATTACATAACTCCATCATAAAGGGACATTTGTTAGTCCAGCATTTCATTGATCCTGTTAAACTGATTTTGTAGTTGTACTGTGTGATATCAGTCATAGACAACCGACTGAACTTAAAAGCGACTGGTTATGAAACTTACGTAATGAGTATCTGATGTTCTACTGTATATACATAGCCTATGTAAAGTATACTTTAGTTTTACAGTGTATATTCTCTCACATTAATACATAATCATACAAAATTTAAATTATAACAAGATATCAGACTAATATATTTGCATTCTTTGGGATAGAATAAGATAATGACAAATCTTAGATTAGATACAATTCAATTTAGAGCACCTAGACGTAAGAAAGATGGTATGTTGTTTCAGTTAAAACATGCGGTTGCTCAATCTGTTCAAATTCCGTACAAATAGATCGAAACACATTTTCACAACAGATGGATTTCAAAGAATGTGGAATTGTGTTGTTTGGTAAGGGGAAGTACAGACTTTGTAAGTAGTGCTTTTTTTAGTGCTTATAGTCTTAACATTTACAACTTATATAACACTAGTCATATGAAAGCAATTCACGTCACTTTATGACTTTATGATGAACTGATAGAATGTAATCACACAAAAATGTATTGACAAGTGCCTCACGTTATCATATTATCATACATTTACTTAACACAATTGTTGTGTGTGTGTGTGTATATATATATATATATATA